GAATCAGAAGATATTTAAATTGAAAAGGAAAACATGAAGAACAGTCAAAAGACAATATTCACCCAAAACTTTCATAGCTATAAATCAGAGACAGACTAAGCTATGGAGTACAGATAGAGATCCGAATGATCTAAAAGTGCTTGCTCCCAAATTTTCAATTTAGGTCTTTTTCCAACAGAGATATATCTCATGCAAATACAAGTCTGTCAAGTGTGCATGTGCAGACAGATTTATTTCCCTTTTACCAAGTAGCTCTTTTAATTTCCTTCCTAGGAGCACTGTTTACTTACTAAGCCACTTTCCACCTCAGTATGACTTAAATGCAGTTTTGTAAAAGCAAACAAATCCTTTTAAATTCAGATGAAATGGAAAAGAAATAGAGGGAGTGAAAAAGGAAATAGTAAACAAGCTCCAAACAAACCCTAAGCTTTCTCTAGCGTGTTAAGTTGCCTGCACAATTACTGCAGACCAGGTCTGGGACTCTCCGTTTGCAGGTCTCTGAACTCAAGCGGTTGGAGAGCCCGGTCGTCTTGCGCATCCCATGGCACTGCAGGGTGCTCCAGGCAGGGAGGGTGAAGGAGTGCTCCCCTTCCCTACTACTGTCACTTGTAAAGAGGGCCATGTCCTTATGCCCTTCTGAAGCAGAGGGAAAGTGACACATATGGGAAAGTTGGAGTTCAAGACCATGCCACTTCATTTAGATGTATCAAAACTCTACTCCTTGTACTCACAAGCATACTATCAATTTTTCACCATCAGCTAGGACATAGTTTCTATGGAAATACATGTTTTAGTAGTTCTTGCTATCACTGCTGCCCTCTGCTATAAAGATCATTGAAAGATAAATTAGCTGGAAGGGCAGTAACGGGATACCTGGAGCTTTTCATCAGGGTGTGTCTGATTCTTGTCAGAAAAGACTGATAGTCTCACAGTTGTCCTACATGAAATGAATTTGTTGCTTTCAGTCTAGTTCATGAAGGACAAGGATGCAGACTGCAATAATGCAATGAGATGGAAAGGAAGCAGAAACTGACCAGCTCTTGCTGCAGGTGTTTCTGCAGCCACATGCCCTCAGCAGCACTGAGGACATGAGCTGCTTTAATCCACACTGCACTAAGTTTACTGCAGAGAGGACTTTCTGCCTCTGCACCCTCAGCCTGGCCCTCTGCCCAGCTGTGAGAATGGTGACTGCCACATGTTCGATGATAGATGCGCTATAGATTACAGCTTCTTACATCGGGATTAGTCCCCAGTTTTAACAAAGTACATGGAGAGCCCCAGTGGCCAGCTTCACTCTGACGCCGAGATGACTTTGTCAGGCTTTCTCTCCCTTTCCTTTATGTCAAGGGTATATCTGAACAGACTAAGTTTCTGCATTTCCTTTTGCTGTTGAATTTGGATCCATTCTTCCTTTTTTAATTACAAGATTTCTGCCACAGCTTGAGTTACAGATCTGAACATCTGATAAATATGAACGCCTTTTACAGATTGTTTAATCTCATGTTTCAGCAAGGTACTCTTTTGTGAAAATGCCTTTCAACAGCCTCTAGCAATACCTCCGTCTATCACAAATACTTAACTCCAGTCTTTAAACAGGAGTGACTCAAACCGACAGACGATGAAAAATTTAAACATTAAGACTTTAAGAAGCTATTGCCTCTGTCCTGTTCTTGCACAGACTGAAATCCTTTCAGCCATTCTTTTGGGAGCGCCACAGTACGTCTCCCATTCAGACGTATCTGGTTTCCTGGACAATGAACTTTCTTGTGTTTGTTTCTGCCTTTGCCCTATTAATTTTGCAGTAAGGTTTGATTACTCCACATAGTTTAAATCATGCTACAAATGTCAATCCTGATTTGTTTATTCCAATTCATTCACTTTGATCAGGGAGTATATTTTAATGAAAACATGCTAAATTAATATATAAGGAGATTAAATGCTAAGGAAAGCGCTTTTTTTATCCTGACTAACTCCAGTGAACAACTGGAAGGTGCAGAAAAGTCTGCCGTGGAATAGCCCTGCTTGATAAGGCAATCTATGGGATGAAACCGTTCCTCTGGCAGTGAAACAAGGCTGTTTGCTGAAGTTCGCTGCAGTTCTAGACAATCCCAAATCATGCTGCGGGAATCTCTTGCAGATTACATCCAGCATTTCCCCAGAGATTGTTCCTTGCACCATGGCAGCATATGCTGTGATCAGATCTCCGAGATGTCACCCTTGCAGGACTCTCTGGTTATGAGAAGGTCCCAGATTGCCTTCTCCTCTTGCTCCCTAAACAGCCGCTCTGCCATGTAAAGAAATCTTAGACATTTTATCACTCACTCCAATGCAGCCGCTGCCTTATCTGAGGCTTGATAACCAGAAAACTAACCTCATAACCAGAAGTCTTGCTGATAAGGACTTGCACAAGCAGTGCCCACCCTCCCCCTTGCAGCCAGGCTACCAGCACCTTTGGAGAAAAGCACAACATATAGTGAGGGAACCCTCAAGGGTTCAGGCTGGAAAGGGAGAGAGGGAAGTAAAAGCCAGGCAGAAGAGAAGGAAAAGATGGTAGGTTCTTGGGGAGAGCCAGGACCCCACAGCACTTTACCTACCTGTGCTGTGTGCACCTCCTTCCCTGTGCTGGCAGTACAATGAGCTGGGCGGCTCCAGCCAGACCCCTAGAGCAGGGGGCAGGGACTGGGCCAGCACCGCCTCACAGCCTCAGGTGTCTGCACAGCAGCACCCAACCTTCAACCAGACAGGGCAGGGGAAGTCTCTGCTGGGGGGCTCAGAGGCAGGCAGAAGAGGAGGCTTCCCCTCCTGAGAAAAAAGAAAGCTCAACGAGCTGCGGGGGGAGAGACAGCACCAGGCTGGTGCTTCCCAGCACCCTGTTCCCCCCATCTCCCACCCTGGGCATGGGCAGGTTGCCCTGAGCTCCTCAGAGCAGGATGCAAACTGACTGTACCTGGGATCACCCAGCGAAAGGGGGCTGTAGTTTCTGCGAGATGAAGTTGTTCCAACTTTGTGTTGAAAGTTTCCGACTAAATCATGCCTTTGCACAGCACCTTTTTCTTGCGATGCAACACATCCAGTGCCACCTTGACAGAACAGATAGTTTAGTTACTCTACAGGGCAAAACTTGGCATATTAGTGAGACCACTGAAGTGCAAATTATACCATCACCCCCAGCAGGACAGGGACAGCAGAGGGACAAGGCAGGTTCCCCAAGCCTGGGAGTAATGAGTTTGGACACTGGACTTGCAACAAATACTTGTTCCCTTGAATGGTATCTTGAAGTATTTCAGGCAATTTAACTGACTACTGGACTCAAGAGTTTCTTTGCATGGGCTGTATGACATTAATGGCACACAAATGCTCTTTCAAGGCCTGGAAAGAGAAAAAAGCACGTTCCCTGACACAGTGAGCCAGGCTGCGCCCCTTCCTTTGCAAGGACTCTGATTATAGAAGTCAGGCTGTAGGTACAGCTCCTTAGGGCTACTCTGCACATTCAACAGACTAAGCAGGTTTTCAACTCTGCTCAATTTAAGCTTACCCTGTCCATAGTTTTTCCCCATTATTGCTCATGTTTTAGTTAGTGTTTTAATTCACTATCTCAGGTGCAAGAATACTTGCCTAAATAGAGGGAACAAAAATTCACAATTAAATCATCATTAAAAAAAAAAACCCACACCCCCACCCAAACCAAAACCAATTATTACTTACATTGCACCCTCTGACTCAAAACCTCTCAAAGCTATTACAAACCAAAGTCCTAAGTGGCAGGACTAAAAGATACCAGATGTGAAACACAGTCTCTTACGTGATTTTTAACCTGTGGGATTAAAACACTGAAGTACTTTTGAAGATGTTTGTCTTAATACATATTTGCCACATGAAGCTGAATTCATTACATATTCAAAAACGTCTTCTCACTGCTGATGAGTATAAACGAAGATAACAAAAGAAAAATGAATAGATTCACTCCAGAGCATACATAGCTCATTTCTCCAACAGACAAGTCTGATTGTGCTAAAACTCAACAGCACATTATAATACTGAGAATAATACTGAGCCTGAATTACTGTTGAAAAAAAACCCCACCAGTCAACCCCCTCACCCCATAACTACAGAATACTTACTACTCAACAAAGATGACTGAGAACAAAAGGCTATTAAATTAGCAAGAGAAATCACTAACCATCAGGGAGAGGAAGTCCAAGGTAAACCTAAAAAGACAAGCTGAACCATCCTACCTGGCATAAGATCACCAATCAGTATAAAAACCCCCACAAAAACAACAAACCAAACATAACACACAATGTTTTTAGACTTCAAAAGCAAAAAGTAAGTCAGTTCTTATTTACTTACCAGCTGATACACAAGTTGTGGTTTCTTTGCTCTCACAACCTACATCCCAAGCAATACAAGATGTACATCTGCAGTTCTGTACTACCTACGATAGCGCTTGTTGTTTTAGAGGAAGGTTATATCCCAACTGCCAGAAATCAGATCTTTTAAACAGACTTCTAAAAACATGTTAAAATAAATGGCATTTATTTATTGTCCCTGAAGAAAGTGTCCCAAGCTAGAAAAACCTTCACAATCAGGTCCCTATAGCCTGATTCTCAGAGGCAGTTTGACCTGCAACATTTGCAAGAAACTGCCTGCAAATTTTTTAAGCTGAAAACTTTTGGGAACAACTTGCTTAGAAAGTTTGTTATTAAAACCATCAGTTTTAAAGTGCAGTTTTGGCAAGTTCTACCATCACCCCTTCAGCTGGAAAATAGCATATGCAAAAGCAATGGAGGATTTATGAGGCTTTGAGAGCAACATGAAGGAAACCCAACCAAAATGACACATTTTTTGTGGACTGTTATCCTTTTAAACCATATTCAAATGCTGTTTAAAAAAAACCCACAAAATTAGCTGCTACTCAGAGCTTCTCAACACAAAGAGCAGTTGCTGCAGACAAATGTGGCCATGGTTACAAAAATGAACACAAAAGTTAATGCAAAAAGTAATCTCAAAAAAAGTTTATTAGCATGATTAAAAACACGTGAAGAATGACAGTAAGAGAGGAAGTAACTTAGCATGGAAGAATGTCCATTTCAACAGTTTGTATTCACCAAGGCTTGAACGAAATGGGTAACTTTATTGCCAGATTTCACTTGATTTCTTTAACAACAGTTCACACTGTATCAGTTTCATCATTAGTAGAACTATTGCTTTAGTTTGGATCTGACCCCTTTTGCAGGTATGTATAAAAAAATATCCCTCATTACTTCTGGATTGAAGAATGCATTGTTGATTTAAGAGCTGGTAAAAAAAGACAATCTCAACTTAAGAGTCTGTTTAAAAAACAACTTTTCTCCTAATCGCACTACAAAGAAATACATTAGTATTTTGGCCTTTAAACTTCTCACATGGTATTTATTTAGCACGGCAATCCCGAATTCCCTCCCTTTAAGTAACTGTAAATCATACTCCTCTTTCAGAGGCTGCTTCTTGGGTTAGATTCTTGAGATTTACTTCATACACGCTTACACTGGCTTGAGGACGAAGACAGCATCATCTAGTACATAGTAGTCATTATACATATCACCTTCACATAGGTATGGCAGTCTGGTGAAAGCCTCTATGGCAAAACCAGCTTTACTGAAAACTTCCGGCAGGCTATTCACCTGTTCTTCCCAAGTGTGCCCTTTGATTTCCAAAACTTCTGAGGGCTTTTCCCACTTGCCACCTACTGAGAAAACAAAACAGGTTTGTTTAAATTATAAAGAAAACTTTATTTTGTGATGTGTTTTCTTACTGCGAGCATATTACAGGTTGTATGGAATGGGAATATAGGTTGTATTCCATTCCACTCCAAACAGGAGGCTGACGAGCCATTTGTAGAGCTGTTGCAAGATTACTTCAAGTTTTGCCTATTGTTCAAAAGCAGCTCCTTCTTCAGATTATCTTTGTTAGATTTTTAAGTAGCAATTCCAAGACTGGCTGAAAAGTAGCTTCCACTAGTGAGGCTGGTGTTCAGCAGACATGGTCAGACAGGCTATTTCATGAAGATATTTTCCAGCATTATAGAATTCTTTCTTTATGCCCACTGCCTCGCCAAAGATGTCATCACATAGTTACAGTAAACAGAGCCAGCAAGTTGAAAATGATTATTTGCTTTGAAGCTTCCATCTGTAGACCACCACATTATAACGGATGGCTATGGAATCTTTGTTCCTTCAGCAGCAACCTACTAGCTGACATGGTAAAGACTGCTTAGGGTCACATAAAATTAAGCCAAACACTTGTAGCATGCTGGAAACTGTGTTGTCATTTGTTATAACCAATAAAATAATCTGAAGGATTATAGGTACAGCTCTCAGAAGTTCAAAATTTAAAACTCTTCACTCATTTTCCAAGTAATGCCATGCACAAATAACAAATGTTTTCTGGTTTGGTCTGTACCTTTAACCAGTTTGCTAAATGCAACAGTAAACACCCTTCTAAACAGGAAGTTCTAAATCTTGTGATTCAGATGGTTCTGCAACTCCAAAGGTTTCCTAAGTTCCTCTTCCGTTAATCATGTCCAGAGAGACAGAAGAAATGGCATCTTTCAACAAACTAAAAAACATGCTCATGCTGGTGTTACACTGGATTCTGTATGGAGCTGGTAAGACTTACTTCTTTTAAGCTTCTTGTATTGTCCCATGTAATAACAGTTAATCAAGATTGAAAAATGTTGTGGTTATGATTTGCAAATAGCTATGAAATGAGAACAGTGAAAAGTTTTACTGAGAATCAAGCTAATTTCTGCTATCTTCATACAACTTCCAAATTAAACAACTGTTAGTAAAGGCTTTTTCTTCCAAAAGCCTGAAATGCTCCTGTAACCTATGATTTCTGGGTCAACTCTTACTGTGCTTCCCTGCAAAGAACTCCCCAGCAGCAGTATGTGAGCATTTCAGCGCAGCTGTGCTTGTTTCAGAGGAGTTCAGCAGACAGTATCTATATGAACTGCAGCCATGGAGTTCTGCTCTGCAAGGCCACCGAGATCCCAGAGTAATGTGGAAAAGAGTACAGGATCAACTGCAGAAGCACGAGCTACTGCCTTTCACCACGCAGGGTGCAAGTACACCAACAACTCATATTACTACAATCTTCAGATTGCTGTAGTTGCTATGGAACGGCTCTGATGGTGATCTGACATAGAAGTAGTTACATTTTATTCCTGTAGAAGTCACAGACACTGAATCTGCTTAGATCTGGTCCAGAAAACGCTCAGTGAGAAAAATTATGGAGGGACAATGCTGATTGTCCACCGTGGACAGGCTCATAAACTGTGTATTGGCAGTAGATTAAGAGGCTTTAGTTTACTTTTTGTCTTAATTTGTTATTTTCTAGGACGTAGAAAAGGATGCTGCTAAGCAACTAGCTTCATTTTCACGGCAATAACCTCAATTCCATTGTTTGAGTAAAATTAAATAGACTAAAACAATATTTAAATTATGGGTTTCAAGGACTAAAAAAAAAATCTCCCAGAGCAGTCATATTAAGCCTAGCATTTCAGTTCCTGAATTAGAATTCTCTTCTCTGATTAACCTTCCTGTTTTCTCTGCACACACTCTTAAATGTCAGAACTAACAAGCAATATTACTGCCCTTAGAAACCCAGAGTCAATAATGTGACAAAGTGAAGGAATGTCTAGGAACTATTATGAATTCTAATCAATGTTATGAAAATGCTAAATTATAAATGACTGCATCTATATTTCCATTGCCTGCCATTGGCTGTCTCACTTGACTCAGAACAGGAACAGCAGAGAGAGAAATCCTTGCAGAAATACTGCACCACACATCTAGAGTTATGTCACACGATCCCCCTATGACCCATCAACCCCGAAAACACTCAGGACTAAATATGAGGTGGGGAACTACACATGGAATTCTTTTGGTCTTCTCCAGGGCAAAAGGAGACATTCGCAGTATTTCAGAGAGATTATTCTTCTCTATACTTTTTCAGACAAACAGAAAGCTAAGCACATTACCACCAAGGTAAAGCTGTTAAATGAACATATGGACAAACTGCAGGGATTACCTAAAGGAAAAGTTTGCTAGAAACAACCTTAAAACTTTCAAGTTTGAAACACAGATGGTTTTCCTCCTTTCCTCCCACCTCTTCTCAAATGAGCCAGAAGTGTCTTATTTTCTTTTTAGATTGTGCCTTGCTTTTTAACTGACCCTCACATTACCATTGTTTATTCTTAACAGGTTCTACAGATACCTGCCAAGTCACTATAACACAACCCAGATTTCAGGAAGCTGAGTACTCCACGCACACTGTGTTCCTAACATGTACTTTCTCAGCTTTTGGATGCTCCTCGTCCCCACCTCAAGTTCTATGGTTTCGCTTTTTAAGTAAGAAGCATGAGGATTTGTGTACTCCAAGATGCACAGATCATCAGAAGTACAAAGTACATTTATCAAAAAACAGCATTTTACTTCAGATCAATAACCTGACTGTAGATGACAATGCTGTCTATATCTGTGGAGTAGCATTTTCAGATTCAAGTTCACCCCAATCTAAACAAACAGGAGATGGAACAGTACTAACGAAAGCAGGTCAGTTGATCATTCCTTCATAATGAAGCATTTTAAAAGAAATACATTATCTTTCCTAAATATTATCTTTATTTACACTTTCGAGAATGGCATTTAAGATGGAAATACTAACAAAACTGTTAGTAGCATAACTATATTAAAATATTAATAGTAAAACCATGGAGGGATTCTACAAATAAGCATTTTAACCTTGTTTGCTAATTAGACTGTTGCCATACGATGCAAATTACTCCAGAATTCTATAAATGAAAGAAGTTCTGCACTTGTGTTATCTAACAATACTCTACATCCTCCTAGATAAAGACTTTAATGGCTATCAGAAAGGAAGTACCAACAGAAAAATGAGAAGTAGAGAAACTGACACTTAGTGAAAATACATGCAACAGAGTGCAGGGTCTCAGAACTGGGGTTTCATTTTGCCAGCTTAAGAAAAAAGGCTTAGTTCTGAACTTTTGCATCATTTGCCTTCTAGTTAAGAAAGTGATGAGACCTCATTATCTATATTTCAGTTTTGCATGCCTAAAACATAAAAAAAAAAAAACCCAACCCAAAATCAAGCCCACCATAAACCCCAAAACCAAACAACAAAACAACCAACCTAGCTGAATTATTACTTTCCCTATATTCCTTCCTTCCTCTACTTAATTGCATTTCTGAACAAAAGCCTGTAAGCTTTATTCAGATACCCAGAAATCTGGATTCTATTCTCTGTCTACCCCTAAAGGAAGGGTTCATAAAATGAACAAGTCTCCATTGTCCTTGTGAACATGCAGGGAAACAAAAGAAAAGTGTTCACACTAAGGATTTTAGACTGAAAATGAACTTGACAAATATTGAGGGGTGTAAGGTTTTTTTAATTCCTCAGAGGAAGGGTAATGAAATGCAGTAGCTGAAGAAAATTACATGTATCAGAACTGTCCTTTATTCTAACACTCACTTTTAATAAAGGAACAGAGAAGCAGCACAGCAACAGAAAACTCGGCTTCATCTTCATGGTCATCACCACAACCTTACTGTTTCTATACAGTGCTACTGTATTCACATTCTTTTTAGTCTACAAGGTAGGAAAGTGATTTTTCTTATTTTGTTCATTTTGTAAAACTAAGCAGTTTCATCATCTCCATTAGGAGATTAAAAAGACATTCTTAGATTCTGCAATTTTTATGATTAAGTTTTAAAGAGGCGGTTTTTGAAGTTCATATGCTGCACAGATCTGCAAACTCTTGTGTGGCACATACCTGTACTCTCAATAGCAACCACAGTTTCCTTTTTCAGTAAAGTGTCTAAAAGAAAAAGTATTCTAAAGCTAAAATTATCCTGAGAGTATTAAACAGGAAGTTGGAGATTATTGCGGCTCACTCAAAACTCAAAACTAGAAATTACCACTGTAAGTCATCAACTCTCTGGATTAGTTTCCAGTAAAAGTAAAATGATTTAATATCAAAGCATTTGCGACTGCAGACTGACTTTACTTGTGTAATGAAATTCTATTCATACATCATACATATACAGAAGAGAGACCTTGGTAAAATTTAAAAGCATCAGAGACTTTGAAGAAGTTTCATGCTTATAGGAAACAAAACCATCAGAATACATGTGGTTAAAAGGTACAGTTATTGGATTTTTTTTTTTAATCTAGAAGAAAATTTGTGTTTAATTAAAAACTAACACCCAAAGCTGCAACTGGAATCTTTACATAATAATGAGACTTTGACATGAGAATGAGGACTTAACAGTCCTAAATGGTATGACATGCTAAAATGGTTCTTTGCTGCAGTGATCACTGTCTAAGCATAAAGACAGGACAATCTTCTTTAGTTTCCTTTTTCTTTGAACTGGGTGAAGCAGTATAATGGGAAACATCAACTAAGCCTTTTTCAGGGGAAAAAGGGTTATCTGTGATGCCACCGGTTTACTTTTGAGAACTGGGTAGTGTCTCAGGCAGGTTCCACTGCACTCAAATCAAACTCACTTGCAGCATCTATCACCAGAAGCTGAAAAAGGCCTTACACACCTGAAAATGCTGCTGATTTTCCAATGGTATAAGCTGATCTAAGGAAAGACTTTTCTCTACAAACTGTTTGACACTGTAAAAGAGCACCACTTTTAACTATTCTGCTACCTTAGCAGTTGGCTTCTCAGACTTTAATTGTTTTTTATTCTCTCTCTTTAGTTAAAACCAAAGCTGCTAAAGAAAAGAGGGAATGAAGACCAAAGAACAGAGAACTGCGTATGTTATCATTTCATTTGTTTTGTCTGTGATTCAGAACTTTTCCTGCCCTGTCTTTTTTAAGTATATTGGGCATCAATTCTGTAATTATTTGATTATTTGGTTGAAGAAATATTCTGAGCTGTTAAGGCTTTACTTCAGATTTGTACAAAACTAGTAAATGAATTTACATTTCACTAATTTATGTTTAACAAGTTGGATACAGGATAAAGTCAATCTATGTATAAAGGCTACCTCTAATACAAAGCTTCCTTCAGATTTTAACTAAGTTTTGCTCAACCTTCTTTTGAAAGTAACACATTTTGCTATTAATTTTTCATTTGTTTAAATGATGCATTCAGGTAATCCCTGATGTATTTAAAACAGGTCTATTTAGAACCTGCATCACCATATATCCTTGAATAAAAATTAGAAGCCATACATTTAAATATCCATTAAATAAGGCGTATATGTTAAGAGATGTAGTATTAACATAATAATCCTTCTACCTGCCAAACTAAGTTCTTAAAGTGCTACTTAGTAAGATTCCCAAAGATACATACAGGGGAAAAATCAGATGTTTCCATCAATTTCAGATGTAGCACTGACCTCAAGTATTTGAATAACTTGCAGAAAATCACAAGTGGACGAAAAATTTTTCAAGCAATTGCCCAGGAACTTCAAAAGCAGAGGTACACTGAACATTGCCAACAGCCTGTAAGTATCTATATACCATTACTGACATTTATGGGAAAAAAGAGGAACTGGCAGCTTTTAAGTATATTATTTCCATTTCCTCTGGAAATGGACTTTTAAAAGTTGCTAAAGATCTAAAAAAGGTATTCTGCACAACAAAGACATTATAAAACACTCTAAATGATCACACGTATACATTTATATATATATATATGATAGCATATACTTTATAGAATGTATGTGTGTACATTTAAAAAAGAAGCTTCCATAAACCTGTATTTGCCAAGAAGAGGTCTCAACAAGTGCTTCTGAACTTTTTGGTGAAATGCATAGAGCTACTAAGAGTCCATTTTTGAAAAATCGTAGCTAGGTGACAAGAACATTACAGAACTGTTATAACAGCTCAGCAACATTCTTACAGATTCCTTCATCGCACAGAGCCTGAACTAAATATCCAACATCACTGCGTAAAGCCACACAACTTACTTCATCCTTCCAAATTCATGCCAGTATGTCTTATATGATGACAAAAAAACCCTCCAACTTTAGAAGTCACATGTATTTGCAAACAAATGGCTTCAAAATCCTGCTTAAAAAACGTTGCTTCTCTTGAGAAATCGTATAAATTCTTTCCTTTTCTGACCATAGACTGCACTACTTCAAGATGCAAGGAGAAACAAAATGAAACATAGGACAAATGCGTGATTCTCCTCTATGCATTTTTACTTCATTATTTCCATATGGCCCCAATTGTTTCCCTCTGTGATTACCCCTTTAAAGACTTCAAGTCCCTGCTGACATGACCTGGTCCTTGGTTTGAGCATCAGATATAAACACAGTGAAAATAAGGGGCATATTTTACTGCCTCTGTGCTCCCTGGAGATTAAGAAAAGCCAAGAAGAGAAATATGTTTTGAATCCCATAGATGTCACATTAGCAAAACCGACTGGATAGTGGGGAGAAAGGAGTTTACTGGAACAATAAGAGGCTGGAGTTTTTTTTTCCTTTTTTTCCTCAAAAAGGAAATTCTGCATTGTTTAAAAAATAAAATAAAAAAGAAGTTCACACAGTAACAAAATACTTCTCCATTTTTCCCTTAGGAAGATTTGGAAGATGACACTGTTTATCAGAACAGATGAGTGTGTGCAGGAGTTCAGATTTGTTCAGTATTTCTCTCACAGATGAAGAAGGGGCAGATGAAGAAGTTAAGCTTCTTCACATACTTCCTTTGCTTTGAAAAGAGAAGAGACCTTGCAGGGCAGCGTTCTTGAAGAGTATATTTGAGGTCACCAAACCCAAATGCATTGTACATTACATCTATGCTACATTTTACTTCCATTTTCCATTCTGCAAGAATTAGAATCATGGGAAAAGACTTCATAAGATAACTTCTAATCTTCATAAGTTTCTTTTTTCAGTTTAGATTTAATTCTCTGTATTTTTTTCTTTTTACATAAGTTTATATGTATTCCTTTGATGTGAATTGAGCATTTGTGAAAGATGTATAATTGACAGCAACAGAAAATAAACTTGTTTCACATGTGAAATTTTGATTTTAGCCATATTAATGTGATACTTATAGATGTAACAGATATACAGAACAACAGTTAATGAGTCTTATCAACAGCTTAAACAGAGCAAAACCTCTGTATTCTGTAGACAGGCAAGCAGAAATCACAGACAATATAAACACATGTACTATCATAGTAAAGCTCAATTGGAATAGGAGCTTCTTCCCAGGCTATATAGAAAAGGAAAGCAGAGGTCATAGTGAGAAGGTTGCATCTGCAGTATTAAAACTCACTTGCTAGACAGTCAACTCCCATCCCCACCATCCCAAGTCAGGACTACCTGGAGCACCAAGTTTTGCCTTTACATGCCTGTTCAACATGGAGGCAAGAATGAACACAGAAGTATACTAGCTAGCCAAGGTAGTACACTTAGTGTATTTCTTTTTTTTTTTTAAGTACCTTTTCTTTTATCAGTTACTATCTAGCCAATCTACAAACTCAGCACTTCTACAAGAGATCTGTTAGTATCAGGCATTCTCCCTACATAAGAACAGTTGCATCTTTTTTCATCATTTAAATGAAGCAAAGCTTTGTTTTACAGATGAAATGGCATTTCTCACTTCAGTGAAATGAAAACAGACAACTGAGACAAAGCAAGGGTCCACCTAGCACAGATTCCAGCTCAATTTAGTAGCAAGGAAGATGGAAAATACACCTTTGTCTTCTTATCCCTGTCAATCACAATGAATTAACGTGTTCAATGGGAAAATTTCACAATCTCAGGCTGGCAGTGTTCACTACTTGTGAAGTATGGAGCCTCTGACATTTTTATTTTAGATAAATTTAAACCATTCCAGTCACAGACTATCTAATAATGCCTTTATATAAATATGGTGTCTGTAATAGGATTTTTTATGACCTTATGGGACACCTATTAAAAATATAAAGTTATATTTAATAGGTGTTCTTACGTAACTAGTCTAATACCTTATGATTCATTCAACTTACCTGCCAAATCTAGACATGTGCAAAAGTGCATTATCTTTTGTTCTTTATGTTGAAAATAAAACTGAAAAGCCCCAGAAAGAATTTATGATTAAGCTACTTTGTTTGGACTCTAGGTGTCACTGTAATTCCAGAAACAGTAAGCACAGAAACATATTTTACCTCCTCCTCCACCTTGCTTTGTTCTCTTAAATCAAGTTTTATGTTATTCACATAAACAGTTTCCACAATTCCTTTCCCATTACATTACATGCACTAACCCAAGCATCTTGTTTTCATCAAAATCGCATCTCCATTTCTAGGAGCTGATCTATCATACACTGAACAAACACCTCACCTGCCTCATCTCTTCTCTATTTGCTTCTCCTCTAAAATTCAGAAGTTTCTCCAGGCGAGTCCAAACTGGTTTTAATTAGCTTCTACAAGAACTTACTCGAGCCATTAAATGTTCTCCTTTTTTGATGTTCCAAGTGTATATTGTCATTAAATAGAAAGCATATGTACGTATCCAATACTTCTTAAAATGCATCATCTTTTAGAACAGCTGAATGAAAATACTGAAATTCTAAAATAATTTTATGATCATGAAGATGGGCAGTTCATTGTCTATTTCTTTAGGCTATGGTTAAATAGATCTTAAGTGGGAAAGCTTCAGTGGAATGACAGTAGCTTTTGTGTGTGTTAATCTGTATTGTTTAAAGTAGTCTATATGGGTCCATATCCATAATAGTGATAAACAAAAACTGAGTATTGTTTTTAAGATTCAGAACATATTATGGAAACAAAATTGCCTGAAGTGACTAATCTCCTACAATTCCCACCAGAAACAAAAGTATGACTTAGGTTTACAAGATTTCTAACAACAGATTTCAACTTTCAACAAGTAAGAATGACTGAGTTCCAAGGGACTAGAAACCTGCTCTGTGATTCCTGCAGTTATAAATCTAAATTTTTGTTCTCCTCCCGGAATATTGTAGGAGATTAATGATGAGGGATATAAGCAGATTTAAGAGTAGTTTCTTCCTTAATTCATCTACTGTCTGTTGAACCAGAAGTTGCATGTGGTCTGTCACATGGTTACCCAACAACACCCAGAAAAATAGATGCGAGGTGCAATAGTGATTGCAAAACACCATGGCCCGTAGTTTTGAAGGTACACAAACAAAAAAGCCACCCAAATAATTTCCCGATTTCTGCTTCCAGTATACCAATGAAAGACTAGAAAGACACTGCTGGTATTATTCGGAACATCAAGGAATTTTTAGAAGAGGAAGCTGTATTGTTCCACATCACAGGAACAGTAAGTTGTAACCAAATATGCTTGAAATACTGTACAGACACATAAGTCAACCTCTCCTATCTCATTTAAGACATGCTACTTTTCAGAACAGTTACAAAATTATTTGCTCAAACACTGTATTTTAAGCAATACTTCACCTAGGGAATTATTTTTATATCTAAAATTAATTTTTATTACATTTCATCACATTGATTGCCAGAATATTCAGGCTGTCAGTTGTGTATTTGCTGGATGTACATGCCTGTCTACATACAAGTCTTAATACTCAAGGACAGCCAGTGTCCAAATGATGACTGATGAACACCAGCCTCCTGAGTTCAAACCACCTTTAGGGTGCCTCAACCTGAATCCACAATCATAGGCATGTAAAAAAAGAGTTTCTAGTCTCTTCAGAAGTTTAGTCATAGGGACAGATTAACCCGAAAAATCTCTTCAAAATGCAGCTAGCGGAAATAATGGGGGTTTGGCACTGAATTTTACTTTTTAATTCCAGTTACTGATACAACATAAATGGTGGTTGATACTTTGTATCAGTAGGGGTCTGTATTTTACTTTGAGAGCTCAGGTTGGAAAGTGAATGTTATCTCCCTGTGAATTCTTAGGCGCAGTTCATCTGAAACAGTTTGACCTGTACTGCTCTACCCAACACTACAGGCAGTTCTGATGGCTTTGCTCAGGTGGCCACTAGAGACAACTAGGGTGACCTATATGACAGCAGCAGAGGGCTCTAATCAAAGATCAGTTTTCCCATGCTGCTCCAACACAGCTCGAAGGTGGCAACCTGCAGAACAGGATATGTAACTTCAATATCTGAGCTTTTTGCTGGTGCCAACAATGCATGTTGGGGAATTAAGGAAACAGCTTACATCATACGCCCTATTTACCTATCACTTACTTCTGAATGTGCACCATACAAGTTATTTGTAAAAATCAAACACAAACATGCCAATTAAACATTTAATTTGGGATACTGTAACCTACAAATGTTGGGGGTTTTTTTACCTGCCTAAATAGTTATTAATCTGTGTACTTACCATTTTCCACATATGGGTGAAATGGCAGAACTAATGCAAGAATGACTCTGCCTCTAGTTGGCTCCAGTACACTTCTAATATCTTTTAGTACAGTCAGTGGTTGATCACAACGATCCAGCAAATTCAAACAGCTGATGACATCATACTGAAATCCTGTGTTTTGCCATTCATTTACACCAAGCACTCTACAAAAAGAAAGCGATAGAGTCTGTTAAACAAACACAAGCTGAGTTCAAAGAGAGGCAGTGACGACAAAAATTCCCTATGGATGTGTTGATAGTGCAGGTAAGGTCAGCCACCTAGGCAATGAGAAGAGACAGACAAGATGCTTCTGGTCTTTCAGAAGAGAAAACTAAATCAACAATCAAAAGTGGGCACGGTTATATATCCAGACGTAAGAACCTGTGCATTGCCTTATAACTACCAGGCAATAAAGGAGACAAAAACCAAAACCCCAGGTACTAAAAAAAAGTGTTGTCCTAGAATAAAACTGAAGATATTTCTCAAGAAACAACAAAGTTGAAACATGATTAATGGCTTGCTGCAGTCTATCCACTCTGCCTTGCCAGTGTACAAACCCAGACTGGAAAGTAGCTGTTATGTTTCCACTCAAAAGACAGGCTAAAAAAAAGAAATCCAGTTTCTTCATTCTTTGGGTTGAAGTCTAGGGACAAAGTGCCTGAAATACTAGCCATTACTCAACAAGACGGGATCTGCTCCCTACAAGAACCTGCAGAAGCTGTGATGAATGCATGAACAAAGTTCTGAAAGTGCCAAGAGTTTAGTTACTAAATATTATTCCATCTAACAGCAGGAGCTAAGCAGAGCAATAAAAGGATCTTTACACAGGTGTCTACATTGTAGGACTAGATACCTCAATAACCTGTACCTATCTCTATTATCAAGACCTGGTTTGCTTTCTCTGCAGTACCTGTCTTCCTTTTCCAATTGTGGTCTGTTCAGTTAGGCTGTTTGCCTGATTTTCATCTTCCCGACTCCCTCTTTAAAGCAATTTATGCAAGCTATGAAGAAAGAGACTTCAAAATGGTCATTGCCTATTTTGTCTTAAGCAATTGCAGGTAACTTCTGCATAACAAAAGCACTGGGAAGAAGGAACATCAGATGTATTTGTTTTCCTGCTTTTGTACAGGTTAAACTTTTCCATAAAGATCAAGCAACACACGAATTGACTGAAAATAGTGATCATTCATCAAATACTACAAACAGATTACTCTGTTGTAATGTCTAATAAAAAGGATGTAGGAAGTATTCACCACAATACCTGTATTTCTTCTTCTGAAGCTGCCATATCATAGTTTCAGACAATTCAGTGGCATAGATTTCTTCAAAATGAGGACTCATGACTTTAGTGACTTCTCCATCTCCAGCCCCTAAATCAAGAAGCCTGTGGGATTTCCATTCTGGATTTATTTTAAGCAGTCTTTGAAATTGTTCTGGAGAAAATACAAACATTGAGCCCCTTCCCAGCAGCCTGAAATGTAAAAACAAAGAAATGACCCATTTTGTACAAACTTTAACAGGAAGGACAATAAAGTAATTTAGAATGTGCTTTGGCAGCAACCAGTCGTGCATACATAGTAGGCAAGGTCACTGCTCAGATAAATTCTAAATCCAGTTCAACTTGCCTTGCACTTGTCAGAGATCAAACACACAGCCACATGCAGTTACAGTGGTTAAGACTTCAGGAGGAATTTGATTAGGTGAGGAAGAGCTCACGGGGTGCAGCTCAAGAAAATGATCACATTAGAAAAAAAGAGAAAAAGGAGGGGGAGAGAAAGAGAGGAAAAGATAAAGGCTGGACTTTATTTGTCATATTTGCACATCTGAATCTCTGCCACCTACCTTAGGAAAATAAAAATAATAATAAATGAAATAAAAGAGGAAATAAAATGGCTGCAACACAGAGGTGTGCACAATGAATGAGGAATAGGATATGGAACTAGGAGGGAAGCCAGGAAACAGATTTAAAGAAGGGATGGGGCTAACACTGCTGGAGTGAAAAAAAGGATTTTTTTTTAATTGTATGTTACAATGGCTTTTGCTGCTGTCTGCAGATCCTGCATTCAACATGAAGAGCTGTGGAATAGAAAATAGGGAACTCATTAAGGAATTGGGTAGAGGTGACAGTTGGATTCCTTATGGATCAAGTCAATGACATACCCGCCTGTAACTGTTTGAAGACTACACAGTGACAGATTTCAGTTGTCATAACGGAATTCAGAAGATGAAACATTTAGGAAAACAAGCAGAGGAAAAAGAACTGGTCAGTAATAGACTGAAAGTAGATAAATACCTTGGATAGCAGGTTAAACAAAGACAATGAACAGAAATCTTCTACGTCCAAGGGGGAAAAAAAATGGTAAACAAAGATAAAAATAATCAAACAATAAAAATATGTGAAAAGGAGGTGGCCAAGGAAAGATTGACTGTACTAAAACACAAAGAAACAAATGAACAAAAAGGATAGAGTACACAAAGTCATACAGAAGAAACTAAAGCAGGATAATAAATGTATAAAAGTAAACAGAACACAGACAATTTAAGTAGAGCCCCCTTGCAGTACACTTGTGTCAGTCCACACTGGTAATTGGCTCATAGCTATTATTCCTAACAGCACGATAAGGTGGTATTCAAAGCACTGGAGGGCCTTTGAAAAAAAAGGAAAAAAAAAAAAAAAAAAGGAAGAGAAAGGAAGAAGAGCAGACCAAAGGAACCTTTATATAAAGCTACAAGTAACTAAGAACACCACAGGGAAGCTCATCAAGTCATCTGGTTAGAAAATAAGGGAAGAGATTATTTTTCTAGCCTTGGTAGGCAGCTACTATGCTCATACCAGATAGTACAGAAGCATGCAGTAGATGCAGAGGTGAGGATGGTGGAAAAATCAGGTAGATGTAACAAAATGCATTCTTCATAAGGTCAAAACTGATAAGCTGTTAAAAATATGTCTGAATGGGGTGATGTGAGAAAAAAAAGGCACTGACTTCTTTGGGAAAAAATACTAAAGCCCCCACAATTTGCTACCCCCACCCCTCGCCTGCAGCCACAGAAGAGGGGGATGCAGTAAGACCAGGAAAATAGTATTTTACAAACTATTGCACGGGCGA